TGTCACGCATTAAAAGCAACTTAGAAACAACCAATAGACCACAGTGTCAAGGTAGCACAGAAACCAACTAAGGTCCTCCAAAGCAGTGGCCCCCAACCTTTTTTGAACCAGGGACCAGTTTCATGATTATTTATTCTTCCACGGACTGGTACCTGAGTAACACGAGACTCCACCACCATCGGGACGGCTCTTTGTTTGAAGCTGCCCCCCCTCTTCGACGAAACTAAGGCGCGAGCACCCAAACTCCGCTTTCCAACTGAAAACCCGGAAGCACTTTCTAATCGAAAATCCGGAAGCAACCGAAAACCCAGTAGCGCCATCAAAACAAGATGGCGGCGCCCAAGCTTTGCGGCCCGGTAAAAAATGATCCACGGACTGGTACCGGTCCGGGGACCGGTGGTTGGGGACCCCTGCTCCAAAGCATCATAACTAAACCAAAAGACCTAGTTGTCTAAAAAGAAAAAAACAGGAATGATCTACAACATATAGTGTAAAGAGTGGAACATCCACTATGCTAGTTATGAGACCCAGTTTGATCTATTGGTTAGGGTACCAGGCTAGAAACCAGCTGTAGTCTCGCCTTAGCATGAAAGCCAGCTGGGTGAGTTTGGGCCAGTCAGTCTCTCCATCCGATCCTTTACACAGGATAGTTGTGGCGGGAAATAGAAGGAGGAAGGAGTATTAGGTATGCAGGATTCAATTTGAGTCAGTCACTGGGACCAAAGGTTTCTTCCATGCTTTCGGGCTTGTGTTGGAGCCCATCCTTAGGGAACTTTTCTTTCTCCAGAATGTTTGCACACGTTCACACCTTCTGGAGAGAGAGAGAGAGAGAGGAGAAAGAGAGAGAGAGAGAGAGAGAGGGGAGAAGCTCCCTGAGGATGGGCTCCAGCATGAGCCTGAAAGATTGGAAGAAGAAATCTTTGGTCCCGGTGACCAACTCGATATTGAATCCTGCAATATTGTCCTGGGACATGTACGTTTGCCTTCATTTGTGAGTATTAGGTACGTTCATAATCTTGAGCAGGGATGGCGTCTTGTTGTCATGTGACGTATCGCAACTTTTTTCTTTTGCTAAACTGGGGGATGGGGGTGGCCAGCATGTGACACATCTGGCTCGCGGGCCGCAAGTTTGACACCCCTGATCTTGAGTTATTTATCAAAATAATAATAGCAGTTAAAAAAATACAAATTAAAAATGCAAATAAAGAACACCAACTAGCAGTCAGAAGACACTATGCCTTAATCTCACAACACGTGGACAGGTTCTACCACAGTTTCAGCTGGGAACTGTGAGTGTCCTAGACCAAGCTAAATCAAAAAATGCTATGGAATTCCTGGAAGCTTGTCATTCTGATAATCAGCTATCAATAGACACTCAGAAATAAACCACATTTACACCATACAAAAGAGTCAATAAAAAAACTAAGGAGGAGACAAAAAGGCCGGAACATATCCTCTCCAGAAGCCAACATCAACGCAGAGATTAATACCAGGTAATCAAGCAAGAAACAGTACCCTAATCAAGAAACTATATAAGTAGACATTGACTTGCAAGTATTCATTTAGCAACTGTTTGAAGTTAATGATGGTGCCAAGGAAAGTGACTTACAACCAATTGTTGTAGAGACCTTATTGGTCACCTGATTAAAATTCAGGGACTTGGCAACTGATAAGAATTTACAATGGTTAAAGCATTTTGGAGATTAAAAGGGGGAGATGGGACCAAATTTGCTCAATGTCAGTGGCAAAAAAAGTCATAAAATTGGGTGTGACTCACTTAACAATTGCATTTCTTAGCAGTAGAAATTCTGATTCCAACTGTGCTTGTCAATTGAGGACTACCTGTACCAAAGAGAAAACCATAACCTACATCAAAACTGGCAGGGCAAGCTACTGTAGCAAAACCCACATTCACTCACACTGATAATGCTACCTAGTTGGGTATTGAAATGTCTGCAGGCAAACAACCAAGCTCAAAGAGCACCAAGGACTCCACAGTTCCTGAGCTACAAACTGTATACTCCCTTCTATTGAAAAAATGGATTTGTGTATAGACCCTTCTGGTTATGATTGGCATCTGCTCTTTTAAGCAGGCGATAAGAGTCCAGGAGTTGGATAGACGGGACTAGGGATGTTCTCCCTCTTACTTATGATATTCTTGATGTCTGAGATTATCCTACTCTAAACTTGGTTTCAGTGTTTTTCACCTTTTAATTGTTTAAAAAAATGTGTATTGCATTACAGTAGTTACGTGGCAGGCTTTCTGTTGGCCAGCCAGATTAAAAAGTTCTACTAGTAGCACTCACATATCAGGGATATAAATGTCATGCCTAACTGATCTGTCTGATTGTCCAGTCTGTGTAGAGGAAGATCTCTTGTCCAGCATACTGGAAAAGCTCTTTAGATTCAGAGTAGTGTCTTCCTGTGCACTTGATGGAGCACCTACCCTAGGGAGCTTTAGCTTGTGGGAAAACGATAATTGTGATTCATTCTTTGTGCTTTAAAAAGTCTGAGTAATGTCTGATTAAAATTTTATGAAGAGTAGAATACAAGACTGAGCACTTCACAACCACATTTCGGAAATTTTGCCAGATGTTTCAACTTGCAACTGTGAATGGGGGGAAGCGGGGTCTCTGTCCTCAGCTGTAATAATTAAGTGTCACTAAAAAAAAATCAGTAAGGAAAAATATTGTGGCTATTAAACTTCAACCTTAATGGATAAAGTAAACGTAATGGTTTAACCTACAGTATCTGCATTTAGTGAGCTGTAGCTTGGAAATAGAAAATTCTGCAGCTGCCAGGGATTGATCTTTTTCATATCAAAGCGGATATGAAGAAAGTTAAGTGTATCCTTTTTTCCCCACCCACCCCCAAGCAATTGCTATTTGCATTGTAAGGAAATTCATAATCTGTAACAGTGGGGATTTTCTTCCTGGTGCTAATATTAAATGCAGAATTTTTTTTCTCCAGGATAAGAGCAGAGGCACAGGAGAATATGTTTCATGTCATATAACCTGCTGTGCTCTGGATTATTATCAGTCTCAAGCCAAAGATAGATTTAATTTTATGTCTCATTTAGTCCTAAATGAAAATTCAGATGGATGTTCAAAGATCGGCTTTTACTGAGTAAGAATACTGTGTGGAATTGTCGTGATCTAAACATGCTCCACCTATTAGGTGCACATATATGATAATTGATGTAGCTGTGAGCTGACTGGCATCATGGTATGCAAGTCAAAACTGTTCACCTGTGTGGGCTCAAGAGCAGGGTTATGGGAACTGCTGTGCTTTCTATACATGGTGATTGTTTCCTCACTCCTGTTGTCTTCATTTGGCAGTTGGGTTAATTTGCTCCTGGCTCAGCTTGGGTCCTTGGAAAGATCACATCCCAAATATTCTTTTAAGCTTTGTAAGATTATTTCTTGACTGAGAAACTGGAAAACTTACTGCACTAAACCACAGTGAGAGAATACAGAAACCGGGTTTGCCTTTCAAAACTGGGATGGGTGAAATGCACATTTTCTGTTTATCTCTTTAAGCTTTTTTGAGGCTGTCTTGTGTCTATGTGAACTTTGAAGGTATTCTAACCCATAGGTAAAATACCCCGACCATTTGCCATTGAATAATGTTCTCTTATTTGGAAGTGCCTTGGGATGGCTCTTTCAGTGACTGCCTATAGGAGAATATTTGTAATTGTTTCCTTTTTTTTGTTCCACGAGTTAAAGCTGGGCTGAGGGCCCCCCTCTGGCCTTTCCAAGCATACAAAGCAATGGCAGCATTTCTTACAGCCCTCTACACTGTCAAAGTATTAAAGGCTTCTTGTGGTGTGTTGGCAAGTGATTGACACTAAGCTGAAGCAGGTGCAGAGAGTGTGGCTACATGGGAGTGATCTGCAAGACTGGGAAAACAAACTGTGGGTCCTCTGTAAGACTGTTGCATGTATGGTTCTCTGAAGGGCAGCTGGCTTTTTTTTTTTAAATTGATGCCCTGAGATTGAATTGAGGCTGGGGAAGGGCGGGGTTACTGCAATCTTACATTTATAGTTTCTCTATAAAGCTAGTTGAACTTGGTTGAAGTTAGTGTATTATTTTCCTTCTGCAGATTAAGGCCTCAGAAAGATCCGGTTTGCATATGTATGTATGTATGTATGTATGTATGTATGTATGTATGTATGTATGTATATAGATATGTATATGTATGTATATTTATGCACGAGCCTGTGTTTTATCTTCCTTAGCTATTTCTCTGACTCCTTCCTTGTGCTATTTATGTGGGTTTAAATAGCCTGGGAAACTTTTTTTTTTAAAAAAAAGATGAAAGAATGCAAAGAGTTGAATGCTCTGGAAAGAAAAAAGAGCATCCCTAATCATCCACCCACTGGCATATTCTGCTCTCCCCAAAAAACTGTCTTAACAAGTCCAGCTTTTATTATGCAATAGTGGCAGAAAGTTCACTGCCTGGTACACGATAAGAAATAATAATAATTAAAACAAAAAAAAAACAAAAGTAAAGAGCACTTGCGTATGGTATAGTGAGTTTTCTCCCACTCCAGCTGCAAGAGAAGCCAAGTAGAGGTGAGGAGCCCATAAATTCTCTGTTTGAAAGCAAATGTCTCAAGAGGCAAAGCTTCTGAACTGGGAAAGGAGGCTTTTCTTCCCCACTGCTAACATACCCCCCACCTTTTGCTTCTGTTCGCAGACCCAAGGAATCACCATGTGGTCCTGCTTCTTGAGAACAGTTCCCGAAGGCCAAGGCTGCCAGATTTCCATCCTAATAAAACAGTGACGATGAGAAACTGTTGGTATTTTTATCCGAGAAAGGAACTTTGAATGGATTTGCCATGGTGACATGAAAAAGGACCAGGATGGATAAGAGACTGTCACAGGGGCAATTCCATACATTTATGGCCTCTTTGTGAAACTATCTCCAATCTTTCCTGAGCTGAGACCTGGAGGGAGGGAGGGGGGAAGGGTGGGTGGGGTGGGGAAGGAACCTGAAAACTCTTTTTCCAAAGCAAGGATGACTCTAGTAAGGATCCGGAGGAGCTTCCGGCAGGTATCGCCTCAAGTGGTGCTCTTCTTGCTCTTTGCCTTCTGCCTGCTCAGTGTTTTTGTCTCCGCATATTATTTATATGGGTGGAAGAGGGGACTGGAACCCTCTGGAGATATCCCGAGCCCAGACTGTGATGAACCGAAGATTGCTCCTTCACGCCTGCTACCAATAAAACCCATCAAAGTGGTAGATTCTTCTCGGACTGACCCCTTGGTCCTTGTGTTCGTGGAAAGCCTTTACTCTCAACTGGGACAGGAGATTGTGGCCATCTTGGAATCTAGTCGTTTCAAATATCTGACAGAGATCGCTCCGGGGAAGGGAGACATGCCTACATTGACTGACAAGGACCGAGGGCGCTTTGCACTTATCATCTATGAGAACATCCTGAAGTATGTGAACCTGGATGCCTGGAATCGCGAGCTCTTGGACAAGTACTGTGTAGAGTACGGTGTAGGCATCATTGGCTTTTTCAAGGTATTTCAAATTTGAGAAAGTGTTTACTGAAATGATGGGAAGAGGAGAAGCGATACGCTGACTTCTGGAGATAAGATTTGAGCAACAGTGAAGAGCAGTATAATATATGTTAGCCTATTCCTATTGCACAATGAAGTTATCAAAGGGTACTATGACATTTCAAGTTGTAGTTCGCTTTCCTGATTTCTTGTGAGATGATTCTCTGTTAATATTCCCCAAGGTCTATTTATGCTTCTCTGCAAAAAACAAAAGTGAACCGAGTAGCTAAGTATCCTATATTTTTGACATGACATCTCAGAGGCAGAGAAATGCTTCACACCTGAGATTTTAAAAGGGCCAGAGGCATGCAACACAATATTGTATATCCCGAAATTAGTTCACTTCACATTTTATGCATAAAATTAGAAGGTAATACAAAGACAGTGTAAGAAAGCTTTCTCCTAGCAGATGTCTCCATTGTTGATGGCCTGAATCAATCATCTTAGTGTGGTTATGGTTGCTAAGAAGAGTGGGAATCTGTGAGTCTAAGAGGACACTCAGTTTGCTCACTGGCTTGACTAGGGAAGTCACTCCCAGGCAGAGTTAAAGATGGAGAATTTCCAGAACCATAGACCCTAAGCATCCATACCCACTCAGTTTTGCCAAGGTTGGGATTAAGTCTGTCCTCTATCCAGATCCTCTCAAGCTCCAGGGAAAGGAGCTATGGCATTACTTGATTAGCCCAGGCAGAGATCTACAACTGAGTGCCATGAGAGCTCCCCCAGCTGCTTCATGTGAATGTTAAAGGCAACCCTGAGGTACCCCAAAACGGGCCTGTAGCTCAACCTTTCCCAACACCAGGTTGAATCGGCCCTGCAGTAAAGAGGCAACCACCATATCAAAGGCCATTGAAAGGTTAAGGAAATACAAGATAAATGTAGTACCCCTATCCAGGGCCAAGCATAACCAATGCCATTTCATTACTGTGGCTTAGATCGAATCCTCACCAGATAATGTGTTTTTCCCCGCTAAAGTACTTTGGAGTTGTAAGCCAACCATCCTCCTTCCCTCCCTCCCTCCCTCTCCCCCTCCCTCTCTCCTCCCCACCCCCACCCTGTGTACATATGAACAGTGCCTTTTGAAACATTTTTTTTTTTACTTCTGTAGGACTTCCATTGAGAGCCATCTATATCTGTCCCCTGAAAGCCATTTTAGAGAGTGTGGATTAAGAGTAAGAGAGGACATTAATAGATAAGGGGCATATTTTGACCTAATCTTAGAACAAGTTTCTTAAGTCTCTTGTTTGACTATGTATTGGTATATTTTCCCCTCTTACAACATTTTGAACCAAGGGCAGTGCCATTATTTATGTTGCATTAGTTTAATGGCAGAGACATGCAGCCAGATGCTATGAGCAGCTCTGGACTCTGTGAGAAATTAAATGAACCATCATAAATTTAAATCCTGACATTTTATAATTCTCAGAGTGCATGAGCACTGGATTGTTGCTCTCTGCAGCAAATCTTGAAACAAGTAACCTATTCAGTTCTTATTAGGTTGCTTGTGTCTGCTCAGAGAAAAATGCCATCTGGAGTTTGAATGCTAGAGAGCAGATCCTCCCACCCCTAGGTTTGTTGTTTTGTCATATTCTGTGTCACATGGAAGCACCTTCAGGATTTCTGTTCTTGCTGCTCTTCTTCCCTTCAGTCTGCTGATATTTAAATTAGAGATAAGTCATGACTAGATTCCATTCTTCCCCTTTTATAATGGGCAGTTCAGAGAAGATTTTTTAAAAAATATGGTGACACTTGTAAAATAATTAGCTTATACAATTAATTAGCCCAACCCACTGCACAGAGTTGTTGTGGGAAAGTAGGAAGCAGAAGTATTTGTTATGCTTGCTGCCTTGAGTTATATACAATCTGGATTTTTTCTTCTAAGAAAAGGTTCATGTTAAAATTGGTAATAAACTGTTCCATATTCCATTGCAAACTGGCTCTGGTTGCTGAAATGCATATACGAATGACATTCTTATGATTTGACCAAAGATAGTGAAGTGTTGATTTTTTTAGGAACATAATTTATAGCTTAATCAAGAGCAAAGTCTCAGTGCTTCTAAAAGAAGGGTCTGGGTGGGGTAATAAGTAAAATGATTTTAACCATATTTAAATTACACCAAATCAAAATTTTGCAATAGTCTCAAATGTGTTTTTTTTCAAAAGGCAATTGGACTTATTTTTCCCTGAGGAAGAGGAAGAAGTTGTTTAGCTTCTCATTCAAGAAGCTTTATCGGTTCTGACAGGATGAGGGTGGGGGATGATGGAAGCAGAGTCCACATTCTGGATAGAGAGGACCATGGATTGGGCTGCTGGGAGTTTGCGGGGGTTCAGGAGAGTCCCTAGCTAAGATTCTGTGAAGTTCGTAGAACCCCCAAATCCCACTCCAGGCTGGCTCCACCCACCCTGCCCCGCTCCTTCCAGGAGTCCCCATGCAGCCTTTTTTGGATGCAGGTAAGTGCACGGCGTACGCGGAGGCTCGGGGAGGGTAAAAAAAAGCCTCCCAGAAGTTTGGGAAGGCCAGAAATGGGCCCATTTCCAACTTCCATAGAGCCTCTGGAGGCCAGAGAGGCCGTTTTCTCCCTCCCGGAGGGCAAAAACACACACACCCCACTGTGGTGCAGGAGGCCAACTAGGCCACGCCTACCATGGCCACGCTCACCCAGTAACCGAGCAGAGAACCCTTTGCTAAAAATATTGAAGGCCATCCCTGGAGAGGACTTGAAAGAGGCATAAAAGAGGCCATTTTTGTTAGTGTTGAGCAATCCTCTCTCAAGAAAAGGGGAGGGATAAGACACCGCCTATCTCTTATCTATCATGCAGCAGTTCCAAGAAGATGTCACCCCCATTTGCACTCTGGTACAGGTGACCCTGAAGGTCCTCTTTGGCCTCAGGGAGAGTGCTAACTGCAGGATGACTGCAAAGAAATATGACCCTTCCAAACTTCCCCACCTCCCAAACCTCCTCAGAAGTAATCCTTTCATTGCCCACACCATCCTGCCAGAACTGAAGAAGCTTCTTGAATGAGAAGCGAAAGTATTCTACTTCCTCAGAGAACAAAACAGTCCAGTTGCCTTTTGAAAAAGCACCTTTGACCCAACTTTGACCTGAATGACTGACAATATCTACAGACATAAAGATACAGTAGTAAGGTCACCCTCCATGCCCGCAAAAACTTTCCCTACCAGTTTCTATTACAAACAAGAGTTCAGCTGTGGCTTCTGGATTGCTGCATGAAAGCTTTTGAATGGGGAAACTTTTGAATTATACATCTCTGCTGAAAGTGTTTAGTGTCCTTTAGTCCTGAGATTTGGACTTGCCAAGCAACTAGGACCCATTGTGCTTTCTGAAGAGTCCATTGAACAGAGAAAGTTATCTCCCTGGTGGTAAGCCGAAATTCACTTCGTTTGTCCTTGTTTTTAATGTCGCCTGACAACTTCCAGTCTGAAGTTGTCACTCGGTTCGTGTGATCTCTTTACAGGCAAACGAGAACAGCCTACTGAGTGCTCAGCTGAAAGGTTTCCCCCTTTTTCTCCACTCCAACCTTGCCCTGAAGGACTGCAGCATCAATCCCAAATCACCACTGCTGTACATCACGCGGCCCAGCGAGGTAGAGAAGGGACTTCTTCCAGGGGAGGACTGGACAGTCTTCCAGTCAAACCATTCCACGTATGAACCAGTCCTCCTCGCTAAAACCAAGTCAGCTGAATCCATCCCACACATGAGTATTGACGCTGCACTGCATACCACCGTCGTACAAGACTTGGGACTCCATGATGGCATCCAGAGAGTCCTTTTTGGCAACAATCTCAACTTTTGGCTACACAAACTGGTCTTTGTGGACGCTGTTTCATTCCTGACCAGCAAGAGGCTTTCACTTCCCCTTGACCGTTACATCTTGGTAGACATTGATGATATCTTTGTTGGCAAAGAAGGCACACGAATGAAGGTGGATGATGTGAAGGTAATTGTTCTTAGACCTGCACGTTGCTCTTGGCTTTACGGTTATGGGTTGATGTGGAGCCTATTGATCCTCGAGTTCATTTAATTAAAGGAAAAGTTTAAATGGGGTTTCATTGATGCTTATCAGTGGCCTAGATCCCAGAATTCTCATTGCTTGTTGTATCTGCTAGCATACCGTTTGGATTGCAGGTGCCTAAACTGATTTAGCTATAGATGGGTACGCATGCGCTAATGTGAAACACTTTGCATAAAATGGGAAAGTTCTGTATGTGAGGGGCTAGACAATTTTTGACATCTTATGAAAAATACAATTTCTCTTGAAAGGAATTTGTTTTGAGGAGAGTATTTTATAAGCAAACTGACCAGAAAACTCTGATCTTGGTCAAATGTTAATTACCAAAGGGAGGGGGAAGGAGGACATAGGGAAACCTTTGAGCCATATAACAGACATTGCTAGTCACAGCAAGATGCTTTTGAAAAATTTTATTTCATGTCATTAGCCTTAAATTTCATTTAAAAGAACAGAGCAGCAATGAAAAACATAAATCATACAATATGCCCAGAATTGCCCTGTGGTAAGATGGGCAGCTAATAAAATTGATAAATAAATACAATAACTTGCCTTTTAAATTACTGGCCATTATTTTTTCATATTTCAACAAAAGTAGAGATGTCACTGAACCCTCTCGCTAGTCATTTAAGTTTAATAAATGTGTATCAGTCAAAGGTTGAAACAACAGGTATTTAATGGATATCCAACATGGGCATGGTTCATAAAAGGTAACTCAAGTGAATTTAAATACCTGTTCCTATCAGAAAGGTGATATGTGAGTCCAAAGATTACTTTATTAATAGTGATCTCTGAAGTTGGATATTGCAAAATATATCTGTAGTTCACAATATAGCTGTCTTGTAAAAGTAAACTTCTAATGGCATGTGAATTAATGAAATGCATTTTTAAATACATGTTAATGAAAAATGTCTGAACTAGTATACATTCTTGTTTCCCTTTCTATGGTAGCATGGAACTTGATGCTTCCTAGCTTTTAGTTTTTAACCTCTAGGGCAGTAATAAAATACTTTTTATTATACAAGAAGCTCCTTCCTCTCACTTTTTGGAAGTGAAAGTTGCAGCAGGAACTGTAGACTGGCCCTTATGACATTCAGTCAAGAATTACGACTCTAATGTTGGCAACAACAGTTCAAGAAGAAGACAGGAGGCTGTTTGCACATGTAATTCTTGAATATGTTGTTGAATATTTTTGAAAGTCAGTAGATGATAGGTCAGGTTTTCAGAAAGCAGGAATATCAAATTTAGAATTACCCATTTAGGGAACCAAGTAATAATTTACTAACATTACAGTAATAAAAAGAGCAATATGTAGAAATACCACTATAATCATGGCTCAAAGTGGTTTTAAATTTGAACAAAGATTATGTGAATGTGATCAATATCTGTGATAGAATGTCCAGAAACTTCCAATCTTGTGAGTATTTGAGCAAGGGTTTCTGTTATCTGCAGTAATCCATATTCATACAGCAATCCATGCAATATATGGGCTTTTGGCAAAAAGAATGGGAAGTTCAGGGAATTAATAGAATAATAGAGTTGGAAGTTATTCTAGTTCAACCCTCTACTGGAGCTGGAGACCCTATACCATTTCAGACAGATGGCTGTCCAATCTCTTCTTCAAAACCTCCAGTAATGAAGCACCCACAACTTCCAGAGGCAAGCCATTCCATTGGTTAATTTTTTTCTTAGAAAATTTCTTCTAATTTCTAGATTGGTTCTCTCCTTGGTTAGTTTCCATCCATTGCTTCTTGTTCTGCCTTCAGGTGCTTTGGAGAATAGATTGATCACCTTTTTTGTGGCAGCCCCTTAGATCAAGTCACCTCTAATCCTTTTCATTATTATTATTCTAATTAAAGTAGACATACCCAATCCCTGCAGCGTTTCTTCATTATGTTTCAGCCTCCAGTCCCCTAATCATCTTTGTTGCTTTTCTCTGCATTCTTTCTAGAGTTTCAACATCTTTTTTTATATTGTGGCAACTCAAACTGGAGGCAATATTCCAAATATGACGTTAACAAGGCTTTATAAAGTGGTACTAACACTTCATGTGATGTTGGCTTTTTTGGCAGCTGCAGCACACTGCTAGCTCATATTTAAGTGACTGTCTATTAGGACTCCCAGATTCTTCTTGTAGTTACTACAATTGAGGTACCACCTGGTTCAAATAGCTTTGCAGCTTACGTAGATTCAATCTTTTCTGTAAGCTACTCTTTTAAATTCTCTTTTCTCCATCCTGTAGGCTTTGTTTGACACTCAGAATGAACTACGTACCCACATCCCAAATTTCACCTTCAATCTGGGCTACTCAGGGAAATTTTTCCACACAGGTAAGAATACAATTGGCAAAGTTTTCTTACTAGGCTCTCAAACCTTTTATTCTTTGTGACTGGTGAAAATTTGCCTAATATAACTTGAATAATATCTTAAAGCATTAGGGCAACTGTAAGAACCTGAAGTCCTCCAGATGTAATCTATAACTGCAGGCATCCTTTATTATCTTTTATGTTGTCTAAGGCTACTGAGATTTGTACTTTATAAACCATTTGAAAGGCCACAGGATTTATCCTCTGCATTGAGTTCTGGACATGGAAATGATAGCGTTGTATGTCTGGTTAATAAAGAAGAATGTTTTCTCTATTTCATTCTACTTGGGGAGATCCAAGGTTTTGGGGTTAACTTAATCCATGCAGTGTACTCCATTTAATGCTGCTCAGTGTAGAAGCTGTCAGATTGAGTGGTATGATTTTTGTGAAGCTCTGCCTTCATTTGTGGCTTAAACATTGCTTAGTGATAATGATGATGCTTAGATGATGATGCTTTGGTCCTGGCAGGTACAGATGCAGAGGACGAGGGAGATGACCTTCTGCTTTCTTACGTGAAGGAGTTTTGGTGGTTCCCCCATATGTGGAGTCACATGCAACCTCACCTTTTTCACAATCAATCTGTGTTGGCAGACCAAATGGCCATGAACAAGAAATTTGCCGTGGTAAGTAAGATGCTGTCCAGGACTACTGCTGGAGTGAGGAGGGTTGGTTTTATGAAAAACAGAGGATAGTTTGACCATGTAGAATTACTAGTTTGCTAGAACCAGTGGCTATAGCAAGTTTATCATTGCAAAATGAAACAGGAATTGCCAGAATAGGGTGACTGTACATTAAACCACTAAAATGGGAAAGTCTTTAAATATTATGGATTTGTAACCAGTTGAATAATATTTTCAGGTAATACAATCTGAAGCATTGCATACCCACAGAGTGGAAAGTTTGACTAACAGAGGTTCCCAAATGGTTTCAATTCATGGTACACCTAATAGTTCCCAAATTGTGTGCTGCTATTTTTGCCCTTGTGTGTGACTCCTCTAGCTACTGATCTGCAGCTGCATTTTTTTAGTTTACTTTTCAGGTATGCTAAAAACAAATAATTGTTCCTATGACACCATCCAAATATCTGCTAATATATGGTTGCAGTAAATAGCATACTATTGCCCACAAGTCTCTGTTTTAAATTTAAATTGGGACTTTGTAATTATTCTTCTGAAAACTTAATACATATCTCCAGAACCACACTGATGGTTGGTTGTGTTGCATGTGAGCTCTCAACATTGCTGTCAATGCAAGGGTTGCCTTTTTCCTTTTCCTAGTAAGGACATACAGAGACAGTGTTTCCAGTATCATTAAGTGGCTCAGTTCCACATTAGCATTTTTCCTAGTTTAATAGTGATTCATTCCTGGTGCTCCCCAAATTTTTCCTAATGTACTGTTCTAATTTTAACATTAAGCATATTCATGTTACTCCATCACATCCAGATGCAGCTGTGTTGGAATGTGCACCTGCAGCAGAATAGAGGGAGGATTTGGCCAATTTAGTGCTTTCTCAGAGAGAGGCCCAGACCAAGACACTTGCATGACCCAAAGCTGGAGCGGACAGTGAGGAAAAGATTCAGGGTCATGGCACCCTAGAATCTCTCAGGATATACTAGTAGATTAGAAAACCATAGCTTTAATTTGGCAAGAGTCTGTCCACTACATGTACACAAATAAAGGATTGAACTTGATTGGATCTTGCTGACTTGTCTCTGGGCTTGGGCCTGACGTTAGAAAGTGTATGTTAAAATAGTACTATACTACTTTCAGTTGAAAAATAACCTAAATATAGTTTATTCAATCAGTGCTTTTGCTAGATAATTCCCAACGTCTTTCAGCACAGTACTTACCTGACCTTGTGAAATTACTTTCTTTTTTAAAAGAGTGTGCAAAAGATACTTCTTAGGGGTATGAAGTTTTGGAAGTGTTATTCACACCATTACATTAATTAACAAAACTTAATTAAAAGGGAGAGGAAAACAAAGTGTAATATTGTAATTTTGCAGAAGGCGCTTCTTAAACTGCAGATTGTCCTCAGGTCACAATGGCGGTTGGGATTGGGATTGCTCTTGTTAAGCGACACAGTCATAAAGCATGAAGTCAAGTGTCCACATCACTTGGAGAGACAACAATCCCTCTTGCTGTTGTTACCCCCGAGAGATGCAGGTCATTAAATGGGAAGTGATGGCACTCCCAAATAAGGAGCATGGGTTGCTGGGGGGGGGGGGAATGGGGGGGTGGGTGGAGGTGAAGTGAAGCCTAGTGCAAGGCTGCCACATTAGTGAAAGAAAGCCTGGGGGTGGGAGCATAGTGTAAGAGCGGGGGTTAGGAGTGCAAGCGCAGGTAGACTGTAGAGGTGGGTGGCATGGCATGAATACAATGAATGAGCTGGAAGGGACCTTGGAGGTCTTCTAGTCCAGCCCCCTGCTCAAGCAGGAGAACCTATACCATTTCAGACAAGTGACTGTCTAGTTTCTTCTTAAAAACCTCCAGTGACGGAGCACCCATGATTTCTGGAGGCAAGCTGTTCCACTGGTTAATGGTCCTCACTGTTAGGAAATTTCTCCTTAGTTCCAAGTTGTTTCTCTCCTTGATTAGTTTCCATCCATTGCTTCTTGTCCTGCCCTCAAGTGCTTTGGAGAATAATTTAATGCCCTCTTCTTTGTGGCAGCCCCTCATGAGCATAGGAAGACTGGGGGGATTTACCAGAGCAACTCGCAGCCGGCTTCCCTATTCATGGGAAGTCAACAGGGAAGGTCACAAATGGCAATCATGTGTCCATCAGATGTTGCAACTATCAACATCTGGTTGCCAAGTGCCCAGATTGTGATCTTGTGACCCGTGGGCACTGTGACACCACAATTTTGAGGACTGATTGTAACTACCACTTGTTCAGCATTGTCACAACTTTGAACAGTTGCTGAACAAACGGTCACTAGATGAGGACTACACTAATCCAGTGGTGGGATTCAAATATTTTTACTACCGGTTCTGTGGGTGTGGGTTGGTAGGGTAGCAGGGGAAGGATACTGTAAAATCTCCAGTCAGAGGTGGGATTTGCCGGTTCTCTGAACTACTCAAAATTTCCACTACTGGTTCTCCAGAACTGATCAGAACCTGCTGAATACCCACCTCTGCTATAATCCAATACTTTGGATTGTTGTCTGGGATTTGTTCATATTCTACAGCATTGTTTTTTTTAACTGCTCCTTATTCAAATGTGTTTTTAACAGGATTTCTTCATTTCCATAAAAGAACTGTTCAGATGTGAAGCAGAATATTTTCCAGTTCAGCAGGGTAGAAATTTAGTATTTGTTCATTTAACTATCATGAAAAACTGTGAAGCATGATGATTAAAAGTCATCAGGCCAGTTCTGTACAAAACCTGCTTTAAATTGAGCATAAAAGCCTGCAGAAATACAGGAAACAATAAGACTTATGTAATGCTAGTTACTCAGTGCACTCCCTGGTCTGACTAATTCAGCAAGAGCAAAAAATACACTTTGAACTACGTCTTAAACTAGAATTCCGCCTGGATTGTGTAGACCAAGATAAAGAAATAAAATGAATATCTGGCTCTTCTCATTTGCAGTGTAATTATTTCATTAAAATTCCAGTTATGAATGCCTTTTCTTAGGAACATGGCATCCCCACAGATATGGGATACGCAGTGGCCCCCCATCATTCAGGGGTGTACCCAGTCCATGTGCAACTCTATGAGGCCTGGAAACAGGTGTGGGGGATCAAAGTAACAAGCACCGAAGAATATCCTCATCTCAAACCAGCCCGCTACCGAAGAGGATTTATTCACAGTGGAATCATGGTCAGTAGAAAACATATCAATCTTGTGAACTATGATGTTGAATACAAACAGCTTGCTTCCCTCCCCCATTGTTTTATAGAATAAACCCTTTATACCACAAATTGGTAAAGATATAAAGAAGGAGAAAGTTAGAAAATTGTTTTTTTTTTTAATTGTTTGTTCTTTTTTTAATAAGCATAAACAGCAATAAGTAGTGGAATCCTTGTATTAAGCTTAAGGTAGAAGAGCCGGGAAAGTTAGGAAATGCAGGACGTTCAAATGAGTATAAAGATATCGCAAGCTTTAGCTGTCTACAAGAATCTGACCAACTAGCGATCAAAAGAAATGAGTGGGAGATAAGACAGGTATTCAAGGTAGGCTGGACTTAGATTTCTTATGGGCGTGTAGGGACTCATGACTTGTGGCACGTTTGACCCCTCCCTTGGGCTTGGCCTGGTCATCTCCTATAAAACCTTTATTATATAGTACTGTAACAATCAATTTAGTGAATTTTGCAGTTATTTATCAGTGCTATGGTCAACTAGATGTAAAATTTAAGCAATTTCATGCTGACTAATATTAACTTTTTAGAAAACATAGTTAAGGTTGACATATTTTTTTCTCTAACTTTACAGATTTAAATCTAAATCATCAGCACTAATCTCTAGTCAATACTATATAAATATCAAAATAATGTATCATTTGTGTTTTATAACCATATATTAAATGTATTAGTAAAAAATAAGAATAAACATTAACCATATCAAATAATACATCTGCTTAAATTTGGATTTCAGTATTATATATTCCTGATTTCATAAAAAGAATTTGTCTGAGGACCACAGTTAAACTTCACTATCATTAGCTATTTTTAACTTTATAAATTAAATGTATATATTCATCAACCTACACAGATACTGAATACAAATTTAAAAAAAAAACAGATTTGATCATTCTTTACTGAATCCTTGGACAGAATATTCCAACAGGTCTTTGTTGTGAGACCCTATGCTAGGATGCCACAATAGACGCGTTTAGGAAAGGCAGTTCTCAAAACATTAGTGTCTCAGGTCATGTAGAACTTTAAGGAATAAAAATATTATTTGGAATTATGCCTAAAAGCAAATTGGCAGCCACATATAATTGGCACAAAATTAGCTGAATATGCACCTGTTTCTAACCCTTAATGCAAGATGGACAGCTGTGTGCTACCAGTTGAGGCTTCTGAGTGCTCCACAAAGTTACTCTCACGTAGAGTGAATTGCAGCCTGGAAATCAGTAAATGCTATGGCAGTCAGGACTGAGGTAAAACATTCTGTCCTCTTACCACTGCTGTGGGCAGTGGGCGGGGGAGTTGCAGTTGGAAAACAACATTTCTATGCACAGCTTTTAACTCCTTTTCAGAAAAACAAGTACCAGGGTTAGGTTGTGGCCAAGGTTTTTCCCTAATCAGAAGGATTTACAGAGGTACTCTGGTTTAACGGAGGCGTATTTCTTCTAAAAAGATGGCATTCATCACTAGAATGATTACCATATTGTCTGGATTCATTTTCAACCTTTTTTAAAAACATACCCACTTGCCTGTAGGTTCCAAATATCTTTTAAGGCAGAGAGAGACGCTTTTCATTTCTTACATATGTAGGTACATATTTGCCCACCATGCGATTCCCAAAGCATAACAGAAAGGTAAAAAAAAAAATAGCAAGCAAAAGAAATTAAAGGCAGGAAATGAGGCAAAAAAGAATAAATAGGTATAAGTATATTTTACAACAATACCATTCAACATACTCCTGAAAACCTACAATTAAACCCAACATTTTTGTTGGTGAGACATTTGTTAAGTGCATTTTGCCCCATTTATGACTGTTCTTGCCACAGTTGTTAAGTGAATCACTACAGTTATTAAACGAGTAAATGAATCTGGCTTCTCCTTTGACTATGTCAGAAGGTTGCAAAAAACGATCACATGATCCCAGGATATTGCAACCATTGGTGTAATATGAGTCAGTTGTCAAGCAACTTGAAAGTTAGGGTTTTTTTTTTAATATAGATTGAGGCTTCATATTAGTTTGTCCAGAATTACCTCTAGAAAATTGTCTTCATAATGAACAATATCATATTTATCATATTCATATTTATATTGGCTGATGATTCTGTTTCAGTTAAATCTGAGTTTTGAATAATACAAAAAAATATCTTATGAAAAGCAAAGAAGATAATACTACATTAAAGAATAGTAGGTATTAAGAATGGGAAGTGGTATACATTGTAAGAAGTCTGTTGATAAAGAAATGGGGAGGGGAGTATTCAGGATAATCCACTTTCCAAGAAATTGGTAACTAAGAGTTTTAATTAGAAAACAGCATAGTTAAAACAGGAGATGGGCAAGTTTACCTTCTAAGAAGGGAAATGGATAATTGGAGCATTTCATATTACTCATTCAAGGAAATTCTATTACAAAACCATTAGTACAATCTTGAACTCTGAGTTTTGCATGTTTTGAGCAATTTTAGCTGTTTTAGGAAAATTAACTAATTGTACATGTTAGAAACTTTACATAATTTCAAGAACATACTTTGGACATTTTTAATATGTGTTATCTTAAAGGAAGACTTCTGTTTAGTTACATTGCCAGTTTGAAGTAGAATTTTGTAATTGCAACTTGAAAATCATCTGAAGTTTTATGAGGGGGGAGGGAGAGAGAGAGACAATGAGAATGAATACTTATTACTTTGCAATAAAAATTAAAACAAAACTTAGCTCTATCCTAATATCTTAGGAATCCTTTACAATTTCAGGGAGCCCGGCCTTTTAAATAATTCCTAGTAAACCTATTTGACAAAAAAGGGCTCAATCATTTGATGAACTTTCCCCAGGGCCTGCCTTTGGTTGTTATGATGGACTGCATACCGTTCATGAAAGTTTCTGATGGCCATCGGTGATTGTTTCTTTTTCCTGAGATAGTCTAATCCAGGGGTCTCCAACCTTGGCAACTTTAAGCCTGGCGGACTTCAACTCCCAGAATTCCCCAGCCAACAAAGTCCGCCAGGCTTAAAGTTGCCAAGGTTGGAGAGTCCTGGTTTAATCAGCTTGAAAGGAGCAGCTGCTGTGTACTTTGCCTTTGTTCTCAGATTCATGAAAAAGCATAAAATGGACATAGGAAGAGATTTTTCTCCCTTGGGAAAGAAGGAACTGGAACAAAGTCTCTTCCTTCTGTTGTCCTCAAGCTGCATCCCAAATACATGTACCAGATGCAGATTGTACTCTTTGTCTTAGCATGTACATTTAATCTTTTGGCAACATTTGAAGTAAGCCAGGCTACGATGGGCAGTGGCTTTGCCAAGGCCAAGCAAATGATCTCAGTTGTGCCTCTTAGTTTTTCCAGTGTCCACTGCAACAGTGGCTTAATAGGAACACAGGATAGGAATTGCTTCATAGCTTCTCACTTATCAGGATTCTGCGTAGGGTATCCTAAATTAGGTTAAGGAGGCAAACTGTGCAGACGCAGCATGACAGGACTTCTATCAAGCCAAAATAAAATAAAAGAGTATTTCAGCACAGTTTACATATAGAGAGTTAAACTTTTAAAATTATGCATAAACAGAGAACCTCAGCAGATGAAAGATACCTCAAGACAGACTTTTTGGTTCTCCTCAAATTAGATAATGATTTTTTTAAAAAAAAATCATTTTTGTATTTATGATCAACCCCAACGTCAGAGGCTTTCTGCGTAATGAAGCATATTTTAGTCTAATACATTTGAATAAATCAGATACCAGAAAACTCTGGTTTTCCATTTAGCTTATCTTTCCCCAGTGTGGGGATGGGAATTGGTACATAGTTATTTTCTGGAGCAGATTGGAAATTGTTATTTCATTTAAAGTTGAGAGGTATTAAAATAGGCAGTCAGTCTGCCTTGGTTTGAGCTGATGGGCTTGAAGATTGTGTGTTTGTGTGTGTGTCTGTGTGTGTGTGTGTGTGAGAGAGAGAGAGAGAGAGAGAGAGAAAAGAATTACAGAGTTGGAAGGGATCTTGGAGATTTTCTAGTCCAATCCCCTGCTGAGGCAGGAAACCCTATACTATTTCAGACAAATGGTTGCCCAGTCTCTTCTTAAAAACTTCCTGTGTGGAAGCATCCACAACTTCTAGAGGCAAATTGCTCCACTTATTAATTGTTCTAACTATCAAGAAATTTCTCTTCTAGGTTGCTTCTCTCCTTGAGAAAGGAAAGAAGGGAGAAGGAAAGGAAAGAGAACCGTTATGCACTTATATGAATGACTGTATTTATGTGTGAAAATATGAACCCTAATTACAGGATCAATTCCACCCTTACTAAAAAACCTTCTTCACCTCCAAAGTCAGTAACAAGTGAATACAAAACAGTAGGAGGTTTGGTTTTAGAAGCCTTGAAAACTAGATCTCAATATCCAAATAGAAGGAGTTCATGCTGACTTTCTAAATCTGACGGGATGAATTTGTGGGAGAGCTGTTGAGTAGACTGATTTCTGCAGGGAGACACTTTAGACCTACATGCTCTCCATGGTCCTGTATGTTTTGGGGAAAAGTGGTGCAGAGTAAAATTAAGCAGCATACAATAATCATAAGAAGATGGCAGCGCATAATGAGGCCTTATTGGCCAAATTATCTGCAACTCATTCTTAACCTTGAATGATTTATCTGGGATTTGTAAGAAATAGCCCAGTGGATTTTAGATTCTTTTTAATTTGCTACTTGTCTGTCCGTCCCCCGTCCCCCCCCCCCCAAATTTCTTGCTAGGTTCTCCCACGGCAAACTTGTGGATTATTTACACATACCATATTCTATAATGAATACCCAGGTGGCTCGAGTGAATTGGATAAAATCATCAATGGAGGCGAGCTTTTTCTGACTGTTCTCCTTAATCCCGTAAGTATTATTTCAAGGACCAATGGACTGGAATTCTTGCAGCAAAGAAAAAGCAGGATATAAATAGAATGATTAAGTTAAAAAACCAATTAGCTACTGAAAGGTTCTGGAGTTGATAAATTCTAGAGCTGAATAATTTTCAGAAAAGTATGTATATGTAGGAGAGACAGTGTGTGTGCGTGCGTGCGTGCGTGTATTTGGGTGAATGGATAGATAAATATAATTTAGAAGTGATTAAGAAGTTGAAAGGGCTTAGGCATAAGAGTTCAGCAAGAGCCATAAATAGTAATATCACTTGGATAATTGCCTGGTCAAAGTTTTATTACATGGTATGAACACAGTGAAATATATTAAGTGGGCACAATTATGAGTGCTGTCAAGTAAACGTTTTTTCCTGAAGTTAACAGAAATTAGAACTGGGGAGAAACTGACTGAAGTTGGGAAGTAAATTTAGAATAAATGAAAGCACTTTCTGACTTAGCATTTAATCCACTTATGGAATATATTGCCACAAGGTGTGCCAATCAGCTTGGAAATTTTTCAAAGGGCAGAAATGTCTCCCAGATATACTGTTCTTTGTAGAAAATATGGTAGATAAATAGTAAGGAGAATCTTTTTTTTAATTAAACTGAATTAACAGAAGATGTAACTTCTATTATTGAAAGTTTACTTCTTATCTTAAATATAAAGATTTTTTCCCCTCCATCATGGCTAGATAAATCTTCTGTGGGATGTTTGGATAGGGCAGGGGTTGGCAACCTTAAACACTCAAAGAATCACAAAGGTCCTAACCGGAAGCCCCCGTTTAATTCTGGAGCCGACCAGACTCTATGGTGGTTCTCCCCCCCCCCCCCATAGAGTCTCCTCCTAGCGCAGCATCCTTTTTCCTCTACCTGTCCTACCAAAAGCCCTGTCAATTGTGGAGCCGATTGGGAACAGGGAGCCACAGCAGAGGGATGAAAGAGCCACATGCGGCTCCAGAGCTGCAGATTGCTGACCCCCTGCAATAAAGGGATAGAAACATAGTGGCCCTTAATGCAGGAAAGCATTTTTGTGGTGTTTAGTTAGTTCATCTGCATGTTTTGTTCATCTGCAAATGAAGGTTTAGTATTTTACTACAAAAAATTCCCTGAATACTACTGTAATCATTCCAATCTATGTGTGTCTCTCCCCCCCACCCCCGCCATTTCTTCTTTCCTGTCCTGCACAGATCAGTATCTTTATGACCCACCTCTCCAATTATGGAAATGACCGCCTGGGTTTGTATACCTTTAGGCATTTGGTCCGATTTCTGAACTCCTGGACTAACTTGAAGTTACAGACGTTGCCACCTGTGCAGCTGGCACAGAAGTATTTCCAGATATTCTCTGAAGAAAAAGACCCCCTTTGGCAGGTGTGCATTCACTGCCTCCCTGGGCCTGCGTTGCAAAAATTTCCACTGTGTTTTATTGTTTTGTCTCTTTCTTGGTTTGAAAATCTGGGCAAGTAGTTGCTGGTTATATAATACTCAATTCGGTTAATTGCGGTCTTAGACCAGTAGGATACATAATACTCCCCAGGAAGAGTGGCAGATGTGAAATAACATTCTGTGAAATGTGTAGTGTCTGGATTTGCTTATCCAGTGAGCAACACATCTCATCTGGTCACTTCTTTCAATCTGTTTACAAAAAAAGGTTTTCTGATAATTATAGATTATAAAATTGGCCCTCTGGAGAAGAAATCCTGGTTTTGAAAAAATGTATTTTTTTTAAGAGAGTGAAAGTAAAACAAAACAATAACTTCCAAAGTACGGAGCAAACTCAGTATAGTAGCAAAGTAAAAGATGATATCTTCCTTTTCTTACTTAATGATATCTTCCTTCTATTACTTATGACTTACGACCACAATTGAGCCCAAAATTTCTGTTGCTAAGTAAGGCAGTTGTTAAGTATGACCTTTTTTTTTTAACCACAGTTGTTGAGTGCATCATTGCAGTTGCTAAGCGAATCATGCAGTTGTTAAGCAAATCTGGGCTTCTCCCATTGTCTTTGTTTGGTGGAAGCCAGCTGGGAAGGTTACAATTGGGGATCACATGAGCCTGGGACACCGTAAGTGTCATAAATACATGCCAGTTGCCAAGTGCCCCAAATTTGATCACACGACACAGGGGTGCTACAGCAGTCATACGTCACATTTTACAATGCTGTTTTAACTTCAGACAGTCACTAAATGAATGGTGGTAAGTCAAGGACTACCTGTCCTTGAAATTGCTGGCTTTTGAGAGACTTCTTCAGTAAGAACAGTTGGGCTATAAAAATACTGTTCCTGTGGATGGCCTGGCTGATTCCAGCATGTTGGTGATATTTTAGGATCCTTGTGAGGACAAGCGCCACAAGGATATTTGGTCCAAAGAGAAGACCTGCGACCGGTTCCCCAAGCTGCTAATTATTGGTCCTCAGAAGACAGGTATAGTAGTAACTGGTGTATGCTATATTGCTGAAATATATTATGACAATGATTACATTACAGTATCATTTAAAACCATAATATATGAACTAAACCCCAATTGACTGAGCATGTACAATCCACTACCCCAAAACTTAACAAATCATTTTAAGGCGTATTAGAATAAGTGGCGTAATAGTCTTCAACTTACTGTCAAGGTAAGGAGAGTGGCTGTTTCAAGCAATGGTGAGTAAAATTTGAACCATTATTGAACAGTTATTGTTGGTGCCATTTGTCATCATCTGTAAGTGTTTACGGTTCAACATAGGAAACTGGAACAATTTTTTTAAAAGAAAAACCTTTTTACCCTGTTTTTTTTTAAGAGAGAGATTATTTTTACAACAGCAATATAATTCCTCGTCAGAGTTGGAGAAGCAACTGCCAAAAACATTTAATACAGTTGAAATCTGATAATATTTACAGGCTAAGTCTGTAAGGCTGACAGAAATAGGAAATATAAGTTAAAGTCTCAGGCTTTATACCACAGCCTGTGTGTAAAATGATATCTGTTTAAAAGGCCATGCAGTAGGATAAAATATCATGTATGCCGTAATTAAGAAATGTACTGAGGTAATCGTTGGTTTTCAACATTTTTATTGAGGATTGAACATATCAAATCCGCTTATCCCTGGAATAATCTAGATCAGTGTTTCTCAGCTTCAGCAACCTTAAAGTCTGGAGTTTAACCCAAATTTTTCAATCCAATATGCTGGCCAGAGAATGCCAGGAATTGAAATCCACACACTCGTTGAGGTTGAGAAACAGTGATCGAGAGTGTAAAGTTCTGTCAGAAGCTTGGTAGAAAAGTGATTTTTAGCTCTTTGTCCCCCTGCCCCATTTCTTCTCTTCTTCCTTGAAAAGGTACCACTGCCCTCTATCTCTTCCTGGGGATGCACGCTGACTTGAGCAGTAACTATCCCAGCTCGGAGACCTTTGAAGAGATCCAGTTCTTCAATGGACATAATTATCACAAGGGCATTGACTGGTAGGCCTCATTCTCAATTTTTGTGCTGGGTGGGTGGATGAGGACCTGCCCCTTCCACTTATATTTTGGCTCATAATGATACTGCAAAGGAATAAAGGAACAGTTTTGCAATTCTAATCTATTTTGCTGGAATGTTTTGAAAACCAGATACCTAGCAAGAAAGAGACAAACTTCCCTTTGGAAGAAATATACATATTTAGTTCTTATGATTTAATTAATTAATTAATTAATTAATTTTATTTGGCATCCATCTCATTTCGAAGAGGCTCTGGGCAGCTTATAGCATAAAAACATTAAAATCAGAAGTAAATATTCCTAACACAATAAAATAAAGTACAATCAAAGTAAAATTATAATTACAAGATGGGGACGGAGAGAGCCAGATGCAATGTGGAGGGGGAGTGGAAAGGAGGTAGGATTGATTCTTAATTGATCAACCACCTCCAGTGTGATATCCCTTGTTGGTACCCGAAGCCATTTGGTACCCGAAGCCATTTGGCAGGACCTACTTGTAAGGCTTATGGAAAGTCAGAAGGGTGGGAGCTGATCTCACCTCCAGGGGTAAGATATTTCAAAGGCCAGAAGCAAGTTGCTTGTTCTACTTTGTCAGCAGACGATCTCGGTAAGCTTGAAAGACAGAATTGTTACACACATTTTATCTGATTCCTGTACCATGTTTTTGCAGTGATGCCCTACAAACCTGTGTTAATTCTACTGGACTAAAATATGAATGAGGAAAACTGGGTTTTGTGTTTAATGTCTGTTGTAACATTTCCCCCTCTTTTCTAAAAATGTACCATTTATTCCTGTCTGTCTGCTTGAGAAGAATGAGGATCAACAGCTGGTCTGTTTTGTCTTCTGTTCAGTAGTTCATGCTGCATTTGCCGTATGCTTAATCTATTCCATAAATGTAATAAATTGCAGTCTATTAATTCTTTGATCCAGAAGAATGCTTCATTGGTTGTTCAGGCTTAAGTTCTAAAACCAGCTACATTCTAATGAATGTCTTGACTAATATGGTTTGGGGCTGAAAAGAAACCTTTGATGTGTCTTAATCCTTGTTCTATTTAAAGTGGCATAAACAATTGACATTGAGTAAGAACCCGAAACTATTTCTGCATTGCTTCACCCAATCTATTTTTCCCTTTCTGCTGCTGCTATTTTTTTTAAGGTATATGGAGTTTTTCCCCATTCCTTCCAACACTACATCTGATTTCTATTTTGAGAAGAGTGCCAATTACTTTGATTCAGAAGTCACACCAAGGCGGGCTGCTGCACTGCTTTCCAAGGCAAAAATAATCACCATCCTCATCAATCCTGCAGATCGGGCCTACTCTTGGTATCAGGTAAGCTGCTCCATAATGGTGTTGTCTTCTTGACCTAAAGCACTATTCATTAGTGAAAGGCAATGTAGCTATTAAATGCAATAACAGCAGCTCTTATGTCTTTAGAGAAGCTCTTCTACCTGCCCGCCAGTCTGCAGGGCTCTCTGAAACAACAATTTCCTTTTACCATTAGAATTCAACTTTCTAGATTCTGTTGCCTCAGTTTGTCATTGACCACACGTAGCCCTAATGTGTTCCCTAATTGCTGCCTGTTTCTCTATTTGTGTTTTCCTCTCCTTCCTCCACTTTCCTCTTTCTTGTTTCCTGTCTGCTTCTTTGACTGTCTCTTGTCCCTGTTCAGCAGAGGAATCTCAAAATTTGTTTCTTTTCTTGATAGCATCAACGGGCACATGATGATACAGTTGCTCTGAAGTACACCTTTCACGAGGTAATTACAGCTGGACCTGAGGCCTCTCAGAAGCTTCGGACCTTACAGAACCGTTGCCTAGTACCAGGCTGGTATGCTACCCATATTGAACGCTGGTTGAATAATTTCCATGCCAATCAGGTAAGCAAGTCACGAATCTTTAGTTTTTTCCTTCTCAAAGAACAAAACAGAGAGAGGATTTTATGGAGCAGAATGTTTCTATATACAACCATATATTCAATGCTGTTTGTTTCTTGTAGAAAATGCATATGTTTTCTGGAATGTTGGAATTCACTTATTTTGCTCTGAAAAGTTTACAGAGGTTCCCTGAGAATTGGATGAAACACTTAGTTCCTTCCAATGGTAATATTGTTATCCTGTGAGATTGGTTGGGAATAGGGCAGCAAAAAATTCACCATACTTATTTTGAAGTTAAAGGACTGAGATGCAGCTGTGTAGTTTGTCCAATGTCAGGATAGATTAAAAATCCTATTACTCTAACATTATCTTCATGGTTTTTATAACATTAAGAAAGAAATCCATTAATGACATGGTGAACATTTCCAAAAAATCTTGCTTCTGGCCACAAAATGCAGATCTCCTTTGTGGGTAGATACAGTACTTAAAAAAGCAGACTGTTATTCCATCCTGTGACAACTGCAGTCAGTATTGCAATTTAGAGTCAGTATACTGTATATGTAGGCCAAATTTACAGTCATGGAGATAGTAAGCAATTTATCAAAGACAGGTAATATTCTGGTTAGTTGTTCATTCATTCATTCATTCATTCATTCATTCATTCAATTCAATTTATATACCGTCCATCTCACACCGAGCAGCTCTGGGTGGCTTGCAACAGATAAAAACAAGAATGTACAAATATTAAAAGAATTAAAATTAACAGAAATTGGGTAAACTGGGAACTGGAACATGGGTGGGATGGAGGTGGGATCTTCTTAGTCCATTAGCCACTTCCAGCATGGAAACTCCCCCCACCCACCCCCTCCATCAGCGCCCAAGCCAGTCTGCAGATCCAGGATTTGAAGGTCCTTCAGAAAGTCAAGAGGGTGGGGGTGGATCTCGCCTCTAGAACATCTTTCAAAGATCTTGTGTAGAGTCAAGCCAAGCAAGTGAGCTCTACAAATATTCTCAGTTAAAAACATATGCCACGATTGCATTTTGAAAGCAATCTGGCATTTTCTCAGCAATATGTATGTATGTATGTATGGTATTCAGCTTTGCTCGGGTATTTTCTCACGTCATTGTAGTTGTGCTTTTAAAG